TGTGTGTGTGTGTGTGTGTGTGTGTTTTAACTTACACAGATATATATTGTTGTATATTCCTTCCATCTGTCCTTGCTTCCTTCCTTCCTTCCATCTGTCCTTCCTTCCTTCCCCCTTGTTTTTCTCTGTCCTCGTCTCTGAATCTGTTTTTCACGTCTACCTGTCTCTCTTTTTTTTTTCTCTCTCTCCAGTTCACAGTGACGTTCGTTCGCCCCCAGCAGGAATCACGACCGCCTCTCTCACACCATGAGCATCTTAGCTCTCTCACCCGTGGCCCCCGAGCCACCGTCCCCCATGGTCACCTCCGTCACGCCCGTCACCCCGACCATGGACCCCGACGGCTCCACCTCCCCCACTGCCCATTTCAGCCAGGATCTGGACCATCAGCCCCAGGGTGGGGCCTCCTCACTGGGCCCCGGCCACGGACCTCTTCTGTGTGGAGACCCGTCCAAGAGGTAACGATTATGAGTGATCCAAAATTATTTTAGATCTTATGAAGCTGCTCTCAGACGTGTTCCTCTCATGTTCCTCACATGTTTTTGACATGTTCCTCACATGTTCCTCTCATGTTCCTCACATGTTGCTGAGGTGTTCCTCACATGTTCTGTATGTGAGAACAGATGTCTGAGTCTCTGGACATGTTCTCATGTTCTTGATCTTCTCCTGCAGCTTCTAGTAAAACATCTGTAAAATGTCAGAGTGAGTCCGTGAGAGAGAAAACATCTGGAACCTTCTCAGTGAGCGAGTGGGCGTGTCTCTGAGGTTTCTAACACGTGACGGACGTGAAACTGGACGAACGTTTCTCTTCACACAGAGATGATGTCATCATTGGAGTTTGTCCCGTGTTTGCTCTTGTTTATCTTTTGGTCTCCACCTCCTCTGTCTCTGTCTCTGTGAGTCTGAGACCGTGTCCGTCTCCTGTTCGACTCTGGGCAGGTTGTCCTCCGTGTGTTTATCTCGATGCACTCTGTGCGTTGTCGCAGGTCAAAGAAACCTCCGCCCCTCCACACTGGAGCCGACTGGAAGGTCGTCCTCCACCTGCCGGAGATCGAGACGTGGCTGAGAACGACCAGCGACAGGGTCACGCAGCTGACTCACTCTGCGGGACAGGACGGGGACAACAGACACGTGGACGTCCACCTGGTGCAGCTCAAGGTAAACACGGACACTTTCACACCGTTTGGTCCGACGGGACACACGTTTGATTCTAATCTTCCCACAATGCAACACAGACACATGAACCGGAGTCAGACACTGTGACTCGGATTTAAAAGATAGAAACTGAACTCTTCACCTTCTTCTGCCTCGGTTTCGTTAGTATCTTAGTTCTGTTGTGAACTTGATGATGTGTCGTCTCAAACATCTCAATTCACGTGATTTAAATCTTCATCGTCTGAAGAAGAAAATTATTTGACTCCAACCTGTGACCTTGAAAGATTCCAGATATAGAGAATATAGATGTGTTCACTTCAGACAGTGATGTTCTGTTCTTCTTCTGAACTTGTTCAGTAGATGGATGATGGACGATGGATGATGATGGATGGATGATGATGGATGGATGATGGATGGATGATGATGGATGGATGATGGATGATGGATGATGATGGATGATGGATGATGATGGACGACAGTCTCTGGTTCTCGTGTGTGATCAGTCGTGCGAACATCACTCAGGCAGAATAGTTCCCACAATGCTCTTCTTTTCTCCCTGGCCTCTGCGTTATGTAATGACTCGACCATTGGTTGATTTATGTAACTCTGGTCAGAGGGTGGAGTTTATATTCATCGTCATCGTCAGACTCCTCCTCTTCATCACAGGTGGCTTTGATCACGACACAGAAAGACGTTTTCAGTTCTCGTCTCTTCTTGTTTAATTTACTCGTCTGTGAAGAATTTAAATCTCATGAGTGTGTTTTTAAAGTGAAGCACTCAGCTTCAGCTGTCAGCGTCTCTCTCTGTCCTCCTGATGAGGATGTGAGGACAGGTTGGACACATGAAGGCTGCAGCGTCTTCACTCATCATGATGATGAAGCTCCATCATGTTTGTCTGAAGGTGTGAACCTGACGTCAGATCATTTACTGGTCGTTCACGAAGGTTCCGTCCACGTGTTGGAGTTTTATTTTTAACTTCAGTGACTCAGATGTTTTCTTCTTCATCACACGGATGCTCTCTGTCCTCTCCTCCTCTTCCTCTCCTCACCCTCTTCCTCTCCTCCTCTTCCTCTGTCCTCTCCTCCTCTTCCTCCTCTCTTATCTCTACTCTATTGTCTACGTCACTGCTCTGTGTATGTGTGCTCTCTGAATTAAACATGGCCGTCTCGCAACATCTGCAGACTCCTGTATGTGTGTGTGTGTGTGTGTGTGTGTGTGTGTGTGTG